TATGGAGGGCAGACTGAAATACTTTGGTACTTATAAATATATCAGATGTTAGAAAACCACTTCATACATTTGACAATTTAAACTGGCCCTTTTTGTTTGAAGCTTTGAAAGATCTGATGATCTGATGAAAAAAATCTGGTTTCAAAATTCAGAAAAAGGTTAAATATTTGAGTGTTACCTGGACTGATATGAACTATTATGTTTTGAAACAATTGTTTTAAGACATGGAATGAAATTTAAAAGGATATGTTGAGTTGGAAAACATTGCAGCTGTCATCAGAAATAATTTCTGATTAAGATGTTTTACCGAGAATGTGATTTTTTATTCAGTTTTCTTTTACTTTTCTTGCACCTCTATCCTTTCTCTTTCTTGTTCTTTTTTTTCTTTTTCAAATCTCTGTAATTTCAAACCATCTAATTTTGGTATTCTCCTAGGGATATTTTTGTTTGTGTGCCTTTTTTGTCAATCTGGGTACTTGATGAGTACATGGACAAATCCATCCAGTTTTCTTGGCAATATTTTCAGAAGTGGTTTGCCATTGCTTTCTTCTTATGGCAGCACTAGAACCCAGAATCTCCTACTCCAGCATCACAACCATTAGATCAAACTGGCTCTCATAAAAATTAAGATTCCAGTTTTCTACTTCAATACTATTTTCAGCTTGTTCCAAAGATACCCCATCAAGCTTCTGCTTTGAAACATTTCTGCCAAGCATTAATGGAATATATATAACATTAAAAATAATATCTGGGTATAAGGTTTAATTTTCCTCTCTCCTCTATAAGAAAATTGGAATAATTTCATTATCTGTCAGACCTCTGAACGTTGACCTTTTTAAAAAATACTAGTTACTGTTCCGGATAAATTATTTGCTAGAATTAAAAAAAAAATCCTCAAAGCTCCATCTAGTGGTCCATTTATTGAACATTCTGTAAAGTGTTTGGTTTTAAACGATCATTTTAGTGATCATCTGTGTGTTGTCAATATTCTTTACTCCATGATTCTAGTAAATATTAAATCAGCATTGAGAAGGATTTAACCATCCAAAAGGAAGTTCCTCATTCCATTGAATTCTTGACTCTGATGCTGACTTTTCTTGCCCTTTAGTCCTAGAATGGGGGGGGGAAAAATCTAAAACATTATATGGTTCAAAAACTCCTTTTGAGTAGTATTACTTGTCTTTTAAACAAGGGGTCCCCAACCTTTCGGACCTCAGGGATCACTAAATTCATAATTTTAAATCCCACGGACCACTAATACATATGATCTGCCTAATGACTGCCTGGGTGGACGTGGCTAGGTGGTCATGTGACTGGGTGGGTGGACGTGGCCAACTTGATGTCACTCATATTGAGGGGCGCCTCGCTAACCTTTACTCACCCCTCCCATCAGCCACTCCTCGCCTCCCCGCCTGGGCTCCTTAGGGCCCCAAGAAGAAGCAGTTGTTCGAGCTAAGCAGCCACCATGAGAAAGAGTTGGTAAAACAGCTGGCTCAGTTCAAATTGGATCTGGCCAAGGAGGCTCAGCAGAAGCACCTCACTGAGGACTACAAGAATAGGCTTTCCAAGCAGAGGGAAGACCTGCGGGAGTGCAAGGCCAGGTATCGGCGCCTAGAGGGTCAGCGGGCCGAGATGGTCAGGCAGTTCCAGGCCATGATGCAGTCCCACTGGAACAAGGCCCTTCAGCTCCTTGCCACCAGCGGTACTTCCCTTCAGCCTTCGCCCAAATCCCCGCACCAGGAGGCTGAAGCAGACCCCAAGTCGGAATTTCTCCCCCCCCCAACCCGCACAAAAAGACTCCGAAGGGGGAGACTCTGCAGCAACAGAAACGTTCATTGCACCTATCTGGCCCAGGGACCATAGTTTGAGGACCCCTGATTTAGTGCAATATAAAAAAATGCAAATAATTTTTCTGCGGACCACCAAAATTTTCTCGTGGACCACCAGTGGTCCAAGGACCACCAGTTGGTGACCGCTGTTTTAAACAGCAAAGCAGAAATAATGTACCCATTTTAAAACTCTCTATGGTAAGTACATATGTGTCATGGCCCTGTCAGAGCCAGGGTCTGAAGTGGAGAAGGAGTGGGAGCCTGGGCTGACGAAGGGAGATGGCGCAGTCCCTATGGCACATGAGGAACAATCGGGGGACAAAGATGAGCCAGCCTCGGATCCGTCGGGCCTCGGAAGAGTGGGCAGGGAAGAAGAGAGGGTGCAGGCTGACCGAGGAAGTGGGGAGGAGATGGAAAGGGCAGGCAGCAGAGGAGTTCTGGAGACGAGCAAATGCCTCCCCTGCTCGATCTCCGAGCACGGAGAATGGAGAGAAGGCAGAGTCAGCGCAAGGCAAACCGACTACTCACCAGGAGGGCGGGACGCCTCTCCGCACAAGGTTCATCTGGAGAGTAGAAGTTAAGGAGATACCGTGAGGAGAGGCTTTTGCCAGGAACAAGTGTTTGTTTTCGGATTACACTCCTCTGGCTTTCGAGGACTGTTTTTGTCTTGCCCTAGCTTTGAAGACTTTGCCTTTGAAACTGCCCTTATCTTATGCCTGGATTTTTGCCTTGTTGACTTGCTGGGTAATCTATGGGCTGTTGTTTGGGGGACTGAGGGTGGAGCCTTACTGGTCGGTGGAAGGCCATTTGTTTAACCATTCCCAAGAGAAACAGAGAACTCTCTGGAGGCCTGCTAACCGTGACCACCTGGGTCATAACAATATGGTTATCATGGTTTCAAATTCAAGTTTGTTCTCACAGCAATACACCTATTCCATTATACCTGTATAGTCTTCCTACAATGCAGGAGAGGTTCAAATATGATGAGAATCTGTTAATCAAAAGTAAATCAGAAACATTAATTGCATTCTTTATAAAATTAAGGCATATATGTATGTATACTTAAGATAAATGGAATACCCAATATTTCTAATATTGACATATAGTAAATGGTACATATATGTATCATTTAATAATTACAGCATAAAATAGCTACTTCTGGTATGCATGCAATGGATTGAATTTTCATCATCACAAGTATTTATGTATTGGAATAGAACCAACCCTCAGATTAATTTGCAAATGCACAATCTGCAGGGAAATTTCTCTATTCAAAGGTTTAATAAAAGCAAGCTACTATACTCAAACAGCTCAGTTTGTTTCAGAGGACAATTTTTAAAGACATTTTGCTTCAGCTAGGGGCAAAAGCAAAATGAGCTAGCCTATTTTGCAATATTTCCATCGTATATTAATGGATTTATCCTTGTGCTGCAAGGATTTTCACTTGTTTCTTTTTTTAATTCCATGGGATGCCAAGCTTTGCTTATTCAAATAGTTTTCTTCAAAGTTCTGCAGAATGAAAATAGATTTTGTACAATGGAAGTCTTTTTGCTTTCTTTTCCTGGAGGCAGCTAGATAGTTCTGAGGTTCCCTTTGTCTACTGGATTATGGCTAATCTAACCGCTTTCAGTAATTATGGTAGTTTTAAGGACAGGACAAATTAACTACAAAATCAATAGCTAGCATACATTTGTTTTAATTCACATTGTTTCTTTTGAAATGCCCTAACCTAAATGAAGAGAGGACAAGACTTGCAGGAACTTAATGAAAAAGTAAGCTGAATCTGTGTGGCATATGCAACTGTATTACAGGTAGTCCTTGACACAGAACTATAATTGAGTCTGGAATTATAGTTATAAACTGTGGAAGTTATTGAGTCATGTGACCAAACCAGATTTTATGACTTTTTTGTGGTGTGAGTTAGGTGAATGCTGTGTTCATTAAATGAATACTGCAGTCATTAAATAAATGGCAGCTTCCAGCAAAAAAGCACGGAAAATCGCAGTCTTGTGACTGTAATGCTGCTGTAAACAGCTCTAAATGTGGACTGGTTGCTAAGTACTCAAAATACGATCACATGACTGTGGGGGCATCCAGCAGAACTCAGAAAAATTGTAAGTAGCTCTGGGGAGGTCCATTGTAACTTTGAATGGTTGCTAAATGACCGGTTGTAGGTCAAGGACTACCTGTACACATTTTGAAAGCATTCATCTTCAAGAATGATCATTATAGCAGTGCTTAAAGGCAGTCAATGGCCCTTTTCACATGCCATCTTAAATTGTTTGTAGATAGGACAAGCATGCCATGTGAAGTCATAAAACTAGATTAACTGATACAGCTACAATCCTAGCGAGCTGGATTTAGCCCCAGATGACCCAATCCATTCGGGGCTAAACGAATTCGTTTGGTGAAGTAACTTGAAGATGTCCTACGAATTTCAAATTTAGTTGACTATTCCAAGTCATAATTGAATTCTAGAAAGGTGTTATGAAAGCATCTTTTTTCTTTACAGTTTATATAATCCTTTAGGATCCCTGTGACATGGATCTTGGTACTGAAAAAGAGGGAAACTATGTGGGAAACAGCCCAACCTATCCAAACCTAGTCATGGTGATCTCAATCCCATAGTGCCATAACAACTTTTCTTCTTGCAGTTGGGAACAATAAAAATGTAGGAAGTGAAGCAGAAAGGGAGTTTCTAGCCTCCTTTGTGGTACCAAATAAGACTGAAAATATCAGATGACTGATGAAGTCATCCAAGATCATGTGCTAGGGGCAAAGATCACCCAATCAACTGAGCAGTTATGACTAATTTGTGTGTGTTATGCAAACAAGGCCAAGGCCAGCTTATTAAAAAGATGAGTTCACATACTGCATTAGTCCATATATTGGTGGCTTAGTGTGATGATTACACTTAACCACTATGGCTTATTAAAAAAAGAAAACCAATATAAGAACTATATAAGAAGCTCATTGTTGGATGTTCAAGAATAAAAACTATGCTTATATTTACCAATGAAATATTAATCTGATTAAAATCAATTTAGAGGTATATAAATTTTGCTACAAGCTGAGATATTAAGGAAAGTTAGATCAGTTAGAACCTTGTTTGGAGTTTTTAGGAAACTGAAATTTAGATTGTCTCAAGAGAACAAAAAGTTTATCCAGGTACATTCTTAAACCATCTGATTTAATGCAACGCACCTTTAAACATATGGCATCACCTTTTAAAACTTTATTTAAAAAACTACATTATATGGTGCAAATAAACATTTGATCAAACACGCAGCATTGACAATGGACACATTTCCATCTACAGCACTGAGGAAATATTCACTACCACCACTGAATTTCAAACCCATGATTCTCATCTCAAGTGTACATCATCTCCGCCATGTGAGACATTTTCTTGGGAATATATAAGTAATATTCCATATACCCAGAAAGATCTTCAATAGTCACATCATCCACAAAGACTCGAGCTTGCTCTGAACAAGACCGGGCAGAGCCAGACGAACCTGTACTAGAAGGTGATCGATTTGGTAAGGATTGTGAACGCACTTCCAGGACTGCCTTTTCACACTCTGATAAGACACTCCGCAAACCAGAAAAGGAATATGTTTCTATTGCTTGCCATTCTTTGTCCATGTATGGGCACTGCTTCTCATAACTCATTTTGGAGAGAGACTGGAAATCTGAAGGCTGGCTAGGATCCAGGCTGGTTTCAAAGGTCAAAGAAAAAGTATGGCATTTCCTTCCTAAATTCTTGGAAGGCTGCTCACCAGTACATGTTTTCTGATGTCCCGCTCTGCTTTTTCTGCAGTTGCTGCTGTCTACAAGTGGGCACCTCTTTCCGTTTAGGTACAGGTCTTCTGAAACTCTAGGATCTGGACTGATTTTATTCTTTGGAGCATCAATCTGACTTTTGTGTTTCAGTTGGTTATTTACAGAAGATGCTTTCATGCTGCAGTATGTAAACTTTGGGGGATGAAGAACAGGAGATTTGGAACGCCTGCGTCTTTGTGGTCTTGTTGTCCCTTTCAAGGTTTTCCGTGCACTTCTGTAACAGAAAGCAGTAATGTTAGCAGAAACTAGAATAAATTTTGTTCTAGAACAGTGATGGCTAACTGTTTTGCAGTCGCATGCCAAAAGCGGGGGGGAGTGTGGGGAGGCTGCATGTGCGTGCACCCACACCCATAATTCAATGCCCCCCCACACGTGCGCAACCCCCCCGTGATCTCCCCGCTTTTGGCACGCGATGGCCCGGTGGGCCTATTTTTCACCCTCCTCAGGCTCCAGAGTCTTTCTAGGAGCCTGGGGAAGGTGAAAACGCCCCCCCCTCCCCCAGAGGCCAGAAACAGCCTGGAAGGCCCGAAAATCAGCTGGCCAGTGTGTGCATGTGTGCTGGAGCTGAGCTAGGGCAACGCTTGTGTTCCCAGATATGGCTGTGTGCCACCTGTGGCATGCGTGTCATAGGTTTGCCATCACGGTTCTAGAACATCTAGGCATTTTGTACTAAATTATTTGCTCAAGTAATTTCATGTCATGCACCTTGATTTTTGTCCATGAAAAAGATAGAATTGAAATTTTAAGGATTGCAACTATATCTAACCAGAAAGAAATATCATTATGAACATTTGATGTAATTAAAATAAGCCCCTGCATTTCTCCCAGTTATTTCCAAATAAATTCCCAATCAGACAAGATAGAAACAAAATGCAAACAGCTCACTGTACAATAAGCTTCATCCTACGTTTTGCATGTTTATATTAGCCAAAGAATTGACACTTAAAAAGAAATTTCAAATAAATAGTAGGTAGTTTTCCTTACCTGTGCCAAATCTCTCTTGAACAGACAATTTGATGCCAGCCTCCATCAATAGTTGCTCTGCCTGGAGTTCGTAATCCTGTTCCTTCACTAACAGAAGATCTGATTTAAGGAACATACAACATATTAAAATGCATTCTGTAAAATCGGTAAGAAGGTGGAACAGGGTACAGGTAGTCCTCAATTTAGAATCAGTCAGTCAGTGACCATTCCAAGGTACAGCAGCATGGCTATGATCAATAGTGGCTATGACCAATCTTCAGAGTTCTAGTCACCTCAGCACCTAGGTGGTCACAGGATTGCGATCTAGGTGCTTGGGAACTCATTCAATTGTTTACCAAGCACATCGCGATGATGTGATTGCCATTTCCAAACTTCCATGATCACTTCCCCAGAAAGTCAGTAGGAAACTGGGAATAAGTCTCATGGCTCAATAAAGTGAACATCTAGTACTAAAACTGATTAGTGCTAGAACCATGAACGAATCATGTAAGCCCAAGTATCTGGAACAAGTACTTATATAGAACATTTTATGACAGAAACATTATCATAAAACCATTTATGACATACAGGTAGTCCTCGACTTACAACAATTCGTTTAGTGACCATTCAAAGTTACAACAGCATTGAACAGTGACTTATGACTGTTTTTCACACTTCTGACCATTGTAGCATACCCTGATCACATGATCAAAATTTGGACATTTGGCAACTGACTCATATTTATGATGATTGCAGTGTCCTGGGTCATGTGATCATCTTTTGCTACCTTCTGGCAAGCAAAGTCAATGAGGAAGCCAGATTTACTTAATAACTATGTTAGTAACCTAATAACTGCAATGATTTACTTAACAGTGGCAAGAAAGGTCATAAAATAGAGCAAAACTCACTTAACAATTGTCTCGCTTAGCAACAGAAATTTTGGGCTCAATTGTGGTCGTAAGCCGAGGACTACCTGTAATACAAAAAGCCATAAAACATTTCCTAAACTGATATTTGATTGTGCTATATAGTTCAACATGGGCTCTTTTCAAGGCAGATACATCTTGAATATATCCCAGTTTTCTCAGTGAAGGAAGTATATTAGAAATTTGGTCATTGTTGAAAGCATTGAGGAATTTGGTAAGGAAATGTCTCTGAAAGGATAATAAAACTGGTCACAGTTTGTGTAAAAACAAACATAAGATCCTGAATCAACTAAGTGATCCATGCATATCTTAAACATATTTTATTACTTGAAGTTAATGCTAGGGAATGAAACCTCCCAATATCCACACTATACAGAGCATTTTCTATAAATTTTAGAGTAAGGCAAACATGAATGATGAGCTCGGAAACTTTCTTCACTTCCAATTTTAAGCTTGCAAAAAGAAAGCAATACACCATTAAAAGCACCAAGGCCATAAAAAAAATAATAATTTTAAGCAACAGTTACCTACCCAGTTGGATCCACTCTCAACTTTTTGAAAGCTGTTTGCAGGCTCTCTTCATCTCCTTCTTTAGCTTCCGATTCCATCTGCAGGTTGTTAAAATGCTCTTCTGCCTGCCATATAATGAATACTAACAAGAAAAACATACTGATATTGATTTTATGTAGATTTTCCCCCTTTTGTTCAATTGTGTTAAGATTTTTGGAGACTGCCTGGACAGGTCCCTGCATGTTTTTCAGAAGTGGTGGCCATCACCTCCTTCTTAAAGCTGAGAGAAAATAACTGGCCCAAGATCACCTTCATGCCTAAGGTGGAGTACAACTCACATCTCCCAGATGCACCAAACTGTCTCTCATGTAGAGAACAGAAACTGCAATAAGCCTATAAGAATGGTATAAATTTAACAAAACTGCATATTACATAGACCCCAAGGTAGACTGACTTTCAAGTCACCTCTCAAGTTCAAGTTCCTAGCTGTTTGACAAAAAAATCCCATGATCAATTTTAACTATTACCCATGTCATCAAAGAAGCTTCTTGCAATACCTTGAACCTTTTTTTTATAACGAGTTCTTTCTAAACAAAAGTATTTAAATATGCATTTACTATAAGTAAATTATCTTTTGCATAAGTATTAAGCCATTTGTTTAATATGGAATAAGACTGAAAAATTGTAAATGATTGAAAATATGATACCTGTCACCAATCAGAAAGGTTTGAATCTTTGGAAGAAAAAAATACTAAACTTTCATTATTAGGAAATAAGACATAAAACTTGAATGCCATAATTAAAATACAAATTTCTTACTGAAATGCATCAATACTATTGTATAACTCTCTTAATGCTAATTACTATTTCAAATATCAATTTACACAGAAAGTCTTTTAGAATCTCTTTATACAGCAGCTCAAAAAATAGAATAAAAATAATAGCCATAGTATTTGGGAATTCAAAGAAATTCACACAACATGAGGGGCATACAAGGCCAGTCCATACTAGATGTGAGACCCTCTTTATTAGGTTGGATATAGGCATCAGTGAGGATTGCTGCTCATTTACCTTCCTCCCTGCAGCATAGCTGTATGCCTGCCTGTGCTCCTGGATTCTGTGTCTGGGTTGGCAGGCTTATACTTCTGGGAGACTTCAGCCTGTCATCTCAGAGCTTGAGCACTAAACTAGCACAGGAGTTCATGGCCACCATGGCAGCCTTGGATCAGCCCAACTCATTTGTGCTCCAACTTATCCAGGGAGAAACATAATGAATCTGGTGTTTCCCTTGGAGAAGTGGTGTTGTGATCTGGATTTGGGGGATTTGATGGGATAGTAACACCCAACCCCCATATGCACGTACACACTCAGGTGCCTCATGGACCTAATGCAGTTTCAGGAGGAGCTTGGGATTTTCCCCAAAGCTCTGATATTTAGTTTGGCAGATGCCCTTGCTGCTGTTTGGAACAAGTCTGTGATGGGGATGCTGAGATGAATTGCACTTGTGTGGATAAACTATGCTTGAATTTTTTGTAGAGTAGAGGTGATGCGACTGTCCTGGCTCTCCTGAATCTCTCACCAGCTTTTGGTACTTTTGACTAATATCCTAGTGGTAATATTTAGAATCATTTGAAACCTCCAATTTCTATTAAAGGAAGCTTCCAAAATAACATTACTTTAATCCAGCCTAAATGGAACTAAAATAAATTCTATCCAAGAGACTTCTTTTATTCAAGCTGATTATTAGAACTTTTTAAATTCAGTGCATGATCACAACTATATGTGTTTCACTTAATAGTCCTCTGGGTGGATACCTTTCAACTAAAACTGAAATATCATACTATGCACATAGGACGGATACTTCCCAAGAAAGAGTAGTTCTGAACAATACACATATCTATAATTTACTTATATAGTACTTTAGTACTTTCATCCAGAGACGTACATTCCATTATGTAGTTAAAAATAAAGTAATGATATGGTTACTACAGAAAATCAGTAAGATTTATCAAGTTCTATCATTTCAGCTTAACTCTTCTCTAGCCAAATTATTCTAATTTTAAAACTTTTTGCAAGAAATTGTATATATCTATTATAAATAGTTATGTATAGGTACTGCATGTGACTATTAATATGAAATACTAGTGAATTGTCTTATATAAAACTACAATTTTATACAAAATACACAAATACAATTCACACTTAATTCAGAAATCAAGCAATCAGCTCAAGATTGGAAGAATGATGGCTGATACCATTATAGGTGTTTTATATTATAATACTATACTTTTACTGTTTGAAATAATTTTAAATTACAGTGATATATACAACTAATAAGTAAGTCTAATAAGACTGAGGCTCTTCTGAAAAGCATTAAATTGAATTATCATTCAACAATGCCAAATATTATACCAATGCTCTAAATAGAAATAGAAAAACCTTGTTTTAAAAGATCAGAAAAAAAATCTTATTGAATATCTGGCAAACAAAATTATAACACTTCATAAGGAAAATAATTTTTGGGGTAACACTCTCTGTGTTGCGATGATATACCGTATATATAATCTGTATGTTCATAAGAAAGGGCAGTTTGAAAAGGTAATAAATGCATTATTTAAAAAACACTAACATTAGACAGTCTAATTATTGTTTGACTTCCAGGATAATTTCGGGGTTAGGAAATTCTGCATGTCGTCAAGTGACCGAGCCTTTTAAATGTTGAGTCACTACGGAAGATAAGGGCGAAAACGTGTCTCCCTAACAACCCAAAATGTTCGCCTTTAAGGCGCCATGAAACTTCCGTCGCAAGGAAACTCGAGAAGGGACTGTCACCGCGGCTTCTGACGACCCAGAATGCGGGCTACGTATTAAATAAGAAATCCGTCCGCGCACAAACTAGTAGAAATGACGTAGCTGAAGAAGAAGAAGAGGCCCAGCCTTTTACTTTCGCCTCTTCGAAACGTCTCTGCCTTGAAGGGGAAGGCGGGAGAGACTAAAGGCATCACTAAAACAGAAGGCAAATCAATTTATCCAAACGGAAATAATAATAATAAAAAAACCCCTCTCTATTCTTTTCCCTCAGAATGAACGAACCCGAAGAAAACAAGGGCCAACTTACCCGACAAAGCGGACCCAATCAGTCCAACGAGCCACTGCCGGAAGTGAACGTAAAAAAAAAACACAACAGGAAGTGACGGTGCAGTGCGCGTGCGTTGAAGGACTACGCGCTCTCTATCGCCGCTCCTCGCTTTTTCATCCACTCCTGGTTTGCGCGCGAAGCCCTATCTATACAAGAGGATTTAGGAGAACGCATGCGCGCTAGTAACCAAACCGTCTCCATGGGGATTCTGCCTCGGTGAGGTGCTTCCAGATCCGGGTCACTGGTTTATTTCCGCTCATATGTTTTGAGGGGAGACGGGGGGAGTTCGCGTGAAGGAAAGGAACGTTTGACATTTTCTTTCCGCCGTCTCCGTTGCGCAGAGCCGCCTAAGCGCTGAACTGGCCTGATTCCTTGTCACCGGAGCACAGCAGCTGATTCTACCCGTCAAAACGATGGTTTTCTGTTGAGTCACCGCGCTAGGCGTCCCGTTCCCGGCTGCTTTACGAAGCATCCCTTTTTTGTTCTTTTTCGGCCACCTGGCTTTTCTTCAGGACTTCGGTCGCAGGCAGCCCTGAAGGTCGCAGGCAGAAACTCCACAGGTGAAGCATTTCTCAACTTCGTTTCTTGGGGCAGATTTTTCTGTGGCAGCAAAAGATTTGTGGCACTTTGACCTAACGCATAGATTAATAATCTCAGTCAGTGTTTTCCAACCTTGGCAACTCCAGATGTGTGAACCTCAATTCCCAGAATTACCCAACCAGCATGTTGGGTCTGCACATCTTAAAATTGCCAAGGTTGGAAAACACGACTTAAATTTTAGCTTCGCCCCATAGACTTCATTTAGTGCAAGTGGCCTATAAAGATGTGAAATAAAGAGGAAGGATTTGCTATAATAAATAAACTGGTCCATAAATGTCACAAAATGCTTAATTGTGTTTTTTTTTGGTTACGGCATTATTTGTACCGCGCTGAATAATGTTATTGCCCTAAAAAGGGTTCTGAGTTCCATTCTTTGTGACTACATATGCACAGGCCATGTAGTTTCCTTGCCGCCGCCCCCTCCCCCAAATGCTGCAGTCTTTGCTCTTGTTTGCTTCTGGGGTTTTTTGGCCCAGCTTGGGATTCCTGGTGGTCTCTCAACTCAGCAACTGTACTTATTTTTTAGACCAGCTAAGTAATGCCACTTGGGTGAGGGGATGAATGCAAGATGGAACTCATTCAAGATTACAAGGTATTCTAACAAAAGGTGAAATTAAAAATAGAGTAGGATATGCTTTTGCTTGAGAATGCATAAGTTTCATTTTTTGTCCCAACTACACATTTTAAAATATACCCCATGTTTGATAGCAAGAATAAGGAAATGACTTAGACTATTGTCAAGTCATCCTATTCTTAGACTTTACATTATTCCAGCACAGATGCAGAGCTTTACATACATCCTTCTGTTAAATTATAGTGTATTCATTTCAGTCCACAGCCCAAACCTGTCTAGGATTTTTAAAATTTTCTGTCTATTTGAAGTATTGTCATGCCTCCCAGTTTAATGTCATGATAAGCATCCTTCAACTTCTCCATCCAACTCATTCATAAAAATGAACAGCCCAGGATACATAATAGTGCATCTAGTCCTTGTGATATGATATTGTATTCCACACTGAAGTGGAGCATTAACAAGCATGCTCTGGGTGCAATTCTGAGTCCATCAAACCAAGGTATCATCTAGCTCAAATTCTGAGCACTTTATTAAGGAGAATGTTATGACACACTATATAAAGGGCTTTTCTGAGGTCCAAGTACTCTATGTTTGCATTCTTCAATCATTGAAGCTGAAATCAAATGTATTGTTACTTTCAAACATCAGTAAGATCAATATGCTATGAATTGTAGCAGATCTGTGCTGACTGCTTTTAATTGTACCGGTAGCATGCATAAGTCAAAACACACTGCACTATTATCTTTTTTAATATCTTGTCCAAAATATCAAGTTGATAGATCTATGCTAAACTGATAGATTTATGCCAGTTTTCTGAGATCTTGCCAGTTCTCCTGTATTTCCAGCATTACCAAGCTTGTTCTTCAATCACCTGCACTAGTTCTTTCACTACCCTGGGAAGTAATCTCTCTTATCCTAAGAGCTTGACTCTTGATGACTGCATGGACAGATGCAAATCAATTTGATTTGTTTCCACTAACATTCTAAAGCTCTTTCAAGAACAATTCTATAATCTCATTATATCTCACCCACCCCCCTGATCCAGTTTTCCCTTTCTATTTTTTTCAGTCTTATCAATTTTGTTTTCTAGCTGATCATACCCATACCACATGCCCAACATATTTTTATTGTTGTGAGCCGCCCTGAGTCCTACGGAGATAGGGCGGCATATAAATAAAATAAAATAAAATAAATGAATAAATAAATATTTGTGTGGGGTTTTTTTAGTGACCATCAGCTCACAAAATCTGTCTTTATTTTGTCCAGGCTTGGTTAATTATGCATTCTGTGGTATGCTTAATAACTATCTCCAGGTTCCTAATTCTTTCAATGTCTAGCTTTCGGATCTATCAGGTAATGAGGCTGATAAAGATTCAGGAGATAATTTTGTAAACCCTGAGTGCTCCTAGCACTACTGGGACCAGTTTGGCTTTTCCTTTCGATACCCTCTCCTAGTTCCTCCTAGTATGTGTGTGTATATAAATTAAATAGAAATAAATTTATATAAATAATAATATCATTACAATAAATTGGCTTTTAATTGGAAATAGTTCAATTGGTAAATTGTGTTTTGTAATTCTAACCTTTTCATTTTAACAAGGAATCTGTGATTCATGTTTCAGGAAATGATCAGTGCAGATGCCTTGCCACTAGGCCATATATGACAGTTATCTTACCTTTGGAAAAACATTTATCTGTAAATCAGTGGCACAGCCCTAGATATAGATATGGCTCCACAATATGTCAGCATCTTCATGGCTGAACTAGAACAACAATTCTTACATCCAAAGTCTCTCCCCCCTCCCCATTACTTGAGATTTATTGATGATATATTTACCATCTGAAACCATGGATAAGAATTTATCATCAAATTCCATCAAGTCCTCAATAACGTCTACATCACCATCAATATAGCTTCATCTATTCATAGAATAAGACTACTTTTCCATATCACAATAAAACAACAAAATGGATACATAAACACCACATTATAGAGGAAATCTACAGATCAGCACACATGTTTCTTCATTCCATACCACCAAACAAGTTGCCTTTAACCAGGCTTTATGCTGCAATTGTATTTTGACCCATTACTCAACTAATGGGAATTGAACCAGGAGACATTCAAGAGACTGAACTACTCACCCAGTGAGATTATTAGCCAGGTTACATAAGCACTATTAAGCAGTTCAATGTTAAAATAATATAAGTGTTCTGGGATTTGCACAAGTATATGTAGTATGTTTTTATGTATGCAATATAAAAATAAACTTAAAAAATTAAAGAACTTGCCTATTTTTCAGAAGTCTGGGTTCAACATTCAGTTAAGTTTTTTTTTTTTTTTTGAAAAAACAGGTTGTTTAATGTAGCTTCTGTTAATCATCCATTTGGCAGATGAACATCCCAGGAAGCAGTCTTGGTGTATCACTTCCTTTTGTGCTTTCTTTGTTCTTTGATTCAAGAGTTAGTGTATACTTCAAATACATTATGACACACCCATCCTAGATGAGTCATAATGACATCAAACAGGCAACTAAGAAACGTGTCAGTTAAACAATTTGAGCAAATGAACATCAACTGAGTGGAGCAGGGAGGGAGTTGTGTCCAAGTGAGCATTTTTCTGGCAGGTTTCTTCTTTTGTGCCAGTTTAAGGGTGATAAACACTTAATACATTAACTTTTATTGTTCAAAAAATTAATTTTGTTAACCTAAATACTTAAAATGTTTTCAAGAGTTTTGTATATGCAGGTAGTCCTTGGGTTATGGCACTGGGATTAGGATTGCCATCGCTATGCGATGTGGTCGTAAAGCATAACATCACTTAACCACATTTCTTAGTGATGGTAAATCTGGTTGCTATCGTAACCTTAAGAAGCATTTGTTGTTAAGTGGGAAGAGGTGGCAGTTCCAGGTTAGGGATGTGGCGGAGCTGTGGGGGAGTCTGAGAGGCTGGGGGAAGTCCTTGGAGGGCCAGTACAAGATGCATGTGAATTGAGGGAGGCCAGAGGAAGAACCTAGAAGGGTCGGTGGAGGCTGGGCGTGAGCAGAGGGATGCTGAAGGGAGGAGAAACATGGGAGCAACTTACTAGAGTGATTTGCAACCTTCCCTGCAGGCTTCTCCATTGATGTTTCCTATGGGAAGCTAGCAGGGAAGATTGCCAATGGTGATCACATGACCACAGCTCCCTGCAACATCAGAATCACAGCCAGGCACCTGAGCACCAGGAATTATGATCACTCTGAGGATGCTGTGACATTTGGAATTTTGTCCATCTATTTTTTCAGAACTACCATAAATTTGAACGGTTGCTGAATTAATGGATATAAGCTGAGGACTACCTGTATTCTATATTAAATAGCGAAAATTATCTGATTGGTCCTTAGATATTGACTTCTGCCACATATCTTTGATCAGCTGAGGCTTTTGCATAATGTCTTTTAGTAAAAAAAAAAGATTGGAGACTAGATTATCTGTCTCACGCAGTCTTCTTTGCTTACAGAACAGTACTGTATCAGTCAGTTTTGGAATACTTTGGCCAATAAACTACACATGTAACCAAAGGCCAGTTGTACCTCATTCATACTTAATGCTATTCTATGTAAACAAGGATCTTTAATCTAAAGACTACCTTACAAGATAATACTATCACCCACATTTCAGCGTGTGTGTGTGTGTGTGTGTGAGAGAGAGAGAGAGAGAGAGAGGGAGGGAGGGAGGGAGGGAGAGAGAAAGAGAGAGACTAAGACTGAGACTGAGACTGAGACTGAGACTGAGACTTCACTGCAGCACTCCCACAATTTGTGTGTGACCTGTGCTGGACTTCCAAGGCGTCCCCCAACCCTCTGAGGCATCCCTGTGCTCTTTACCAGGGACTCCATTCATATAACAACCCTCAAGATCATTAAACAACTGCAGCTAGGATTGTGGTCATTCAGTGAAATGGTCATGTGACATTTTGCTTAATGACTGCTCTACAACCAAGATTCTCGTCCCAATTGTTGAGGACTACCAGTAAAAATTATTGAGGCACTGATCTACAGTTAGTCAAATTTAGTATGATATTTCCCACATTAGATGCCTGGAATTTCATCCCAGTTCATTTTTCTATTTATCTCCAAAGGGGAGAGAGTGCAGTGGATTGTTCTCTTAACAATGTTGGAGAATGAGGAAAATCTCGGGGCAGCTTTCAAAAAACTAAGAGTTGATTCAGAACGGTAAGTAACAGTGTAATTAATTAGTAAGAACTGAGTGTATCTTTGCAGTATAAAATATAAAAGAACGATCAGATTTGTCACCTGTTACCTTGATCCTGAGGAGAACTAAAATATATGTGATCAGATTATTCTCTATATCTACTACTCAAATCTATATCATTTCTGTTATACTTCCAAGTACAATATCCTTTTTGTGGTTTTAGAGCACTTAGTAAATTCTGATCAATGCTTTCCTTAAAGGTATAAAATACTTTATGTAATGGCTTTTTCATAGGAATATTCACTCACCCTCCAACTCACTTTTTATCAAAATGGGGCTGTTTTCTATTCCTTGTATTTGAAAAACTGCCTATTTCCTGTGCTGTTGGTCCAGCCAGTTTACTCCAACAGAGTTGGCATGTTCTAGATTCCTTCAATTAACCAGCGCTATCTATCAGGTTTGAAACATGCCTTTTCTATGCCTGTCCTCTTGAATCCTCCCTGGGTGGCTAACCCTCTGATGGCATTCCAGAGGCCTTAAGACCTGGCTGTTCTCCCAGGCTTTGGGCTAGGGTGGTTGGGACCAGGGGTGAAATGCTCCTGTTTTGGACCAGATTGCCCGATCCGGTAGCAATGGCCTGGTGGCTCAGCAGACTAAAAGCATTGTGATTAACACCAGCTGTCTGCAATTACTGTAAGTTCGAATCTCACCAGGCTCAGAATCTGACTCAGCCTTCCATCCTTTCTAAGGTAGGTAAATTGAGGACCCAGTTTGTGGGGGCAATAAGATGACTTTATAAATATACAAAAGTATGAAGGCTATTACTTAACGCATTGTAAGCTGCCCTGAGTCTCCGGAGAAGGGCGGCATATAAATCAAATTTTTTTAAAAAATGGCAGCAGGTGATTCGGAGAATCGGTAGCAAAAATCCCTGCGTCCCCCGTCCCTCCCCCCATGCCCAGCTGAGCCGCACGATCACCAGAGGCTGGTTTTTTTACTTTTAAAAGCATTTTTTCTACAACCTCTTCGGCTGAAAAAATGCTTTTAAAAGTAAAAAAAAAAGCCTCTGATGATCGCGCGGCTCAGCTGGGATCGTCAGAGGCTTTTCAAAGCATTTTTTTCTGCAACCCCTTCGGCCGAAGAGGTTGTAGAAAAAAAATGTTTTTAAAAGCCTCTGGCGATCCCAGCTGACTTGCCTGATCGTCAGAGGCTTCTAAAAGCATTTTTTTCTGCAACTTCTTCAGCCGAAGAGGCTGTAGAAAAAAAAAATGCCTATAAAAGCCTCTGGTGATCCCAGCTGACTTGCCTGATCGTCAGAAGCTTCTAAAAGCATTTTTTCCTGCAACCTCTTAAGGTTGTAGAAAAAAATGCTTTTAAAAGTTAAAAAAAAAAAAAGTTGGCCACACCTACCCAGTCACATTAGCCCCCCCCCCCCCACCAAGCCATGCCCACAGAACCAGTAGTAACAAATTTAAATTTCACCCCTGATTGGGACTGATATAATACAGTTATATTACATAATATGTTTGCTGTTGTTGTCTAGATCTGCCATTTGTGATATACTTGTCATATGTTTTTTTATGTTATATTTATAAACAACAATATTTTTACGTCTGTTGGAGTCTGGTGGCATCTTCTGAATAAAATGTATAAATAAAAATAAATAACAACAGCATTTTGACTTATATACTGCTTCACAGTGCTTTAAAGCCCTTTCTAAGCAGTTTACAGAGGCAGCCTATATGCCCCAGCAATCTGGTTTTTCATTTTACCAATCTCAGAATGCTGGAAGGTTGAGTCAACCTTGAGCCGGTGAGAATCAAATTGCTGAACTGCAGGTAGCCGGCAGTCAGCAGAAGTAACCCGAAGTACTGCATTCTAACCACTGCGCCACCAAACTCCTAAATAAAGTGAACAGTGGTGTCATTATAATGTTTTGTGCCTGGCTTCTCTGGCCCTCTCCCTAAAACAGCTATTTTATTGTTTTTTCCACAATCCTTTTTATAAAATGCCAATAAGCTCCCAAGGTTAGAGATCTCAAACACCTGTTTCTTCATCCATTACCTTTTTCTTTTCACAAGTAGATCGATTATTTCCTTTTAAGCTTCCCAATTTGCAATGATATTACTGGTCACTTTTAAATGCAGTATCTTCCAGTATGTTTTCAGGTGTTATTCAAGGTGCTGGCTTTAAAGCCTTTTGAGATCTAGGGCCAGTTACTAATAGGACTATTTATTCCATCAGATCTGACACAGTAGGTGCTCTAAGTCCCCTTATTAAACATATGTGGAGTCATGCCTTCTTTTCTGCTGTGGCTACCCTACGAAACAGCCTCCCCTCATCCCCAAAATATGAAAGGTTGCACTTGATCTTCTGGAAGTATGAAGATCTGGCCTTTCCCCAGCTGCTGGGCCAGGATGTTAGATGAGCCCAAATATGTGTAGTTTGGTTTCTTGGTTATTGTATTACAATTATTTTAGTTCTGTTGGAGATTTTTGCATGATTTGTAAAGGTTTTATTATGTTTACTACTAGTTTATTATTAGTACAAGTTGACTGAGCCGCGGTGGCACAGTGGTTAAAATGCAGTATTGCAGGCTAATTCTGCTGAATGCCAGGTATTCAATTCTCTCCGGTTCAAGGTTGACTCAGCCTTCCATCCTTCTGAGGTTGGTAAAATGAGAACCCAGATAGCTGGGGGCAATATGCTGATTCTGTAAACCACTTAGAGAGGGCTGTAAAGCACTGTGAAGCTGTATATACTGGTATAAGTCTAAGTGCTATTGCTATTATTGTTAGCTGTCCAAAGTTCATAAAAGGCAGCATATACATTTTCTAAAATAAATGCAACTGTGCTATATCTTTTTCTGTGTAAAATAGGCAGTTATTCTCCAATATCATTTTTTCCAGTAATATTCAGAATAACTCAGAATGCTGTTGAAGAAAGAACAGTAGTAAGAAAGCTGGTTGTAAATGTTGTATATTTGCAATGGCAATTATATTGTGAATTATGCAAAGCTTATTGATTTAGGTTAGATTATAAATTTAAAATGACATATTTTTCTCATGCTTCAGATCCACTGCTTCTCTCCCTGTGAGTGAGGGGGCATCTTCACAAACATTGGTAGAAAGTACAGATGAATCCAAAGTAAAGATGACATTTGGATCTAAAGAAAGTTGGCATTGGTAAGAGGAATTGATTCTGACTAATACTTGGGATGAAGAAATGCTAAAGTGTTTTGTTAAATATCCTTGCCCACGCAACATCTTAGAATGATCATTTTAAAAATAAAATAAAATAAATGAAAGTGGTGAAAGATGCGATCGTTTGATTTGGTAGTGTTACTGTGTTTTTATGAATGTTGCAATTGAGTTATATTCAGTTGCTGTGCATGGCATAATAGGTTCTTTGCTTTCCAGATGAGGCAAAAGGAAGAAAAATTGCTGTAAACAGAATCTTTCTCTTACAAAATTGAAGCATATTTTTTTAGTCAAACTACTACTTCAACTGCCTAGGGAAGGAAGCTATAGGACCATGTCATGAATTCAAATTCTAGAAATGGAAGGTTAGGGTCAGATATTAATATACAAGCTATTTAACTACAGTAGGCTTCTAGTTTATTTAATAAACGTATTCAAGTTTATTTCCAAATATATAATTTTAAAAGTTGGACGTACTCTTAAGATAGCCAGATTTGATTTGTATTAAAATCAACTTAGTGCAATAGTGCCTTGACCTTGCTGTTCATGGAAAAAATGTGGCTGCTAAGGATTGACACTGGCTTGATAGCACATGATGAAAGTAGAGTGCATGTCCTCTTCAAAATAAATCAGAGCACTTTACAATAAAAATAACAACAATGAAAATTAAACAATTAAATAGCAATTTAAATTAGAAAAAGCAATGCTCAACATTGTAGCCAGAGGAGCATTTAGCTGACATCTAGGAAATATTGCAGTTGGATAGTCTTTCATAGTTTGGACAGTTGTTTCATCCACAAGTTGAATTTAGAACATGAGCTGTCTATAAATAATTTTTCTAGTTTTTCTATGATAGAAAAACTTTCTATTAAGATTAAATGGTATATGACATTGGGATAATGCCAGCCCAGCTTCTATTTTTCTTCATTAATTTTAACACAATTGCTCCTAAAAGAGCCCAGAGCAGTGCTCCCAAACTAGTAAAACATTGTGGTGACCAGCATTTATAAAGGCATATTCTATGTGATCAGAATCCCTTACTTTTGTGGAGACATTTTTTAGATATCAACAAGTATAGTCCTAGACTGTATAAATATCAAAGTCAGTGAAGTGATGCAAATCTGGTATATTTATAGTGTTTAGATACTGGTTCTCTCAAAAGATGAAACACATTCCTAGCTTTAAAAATTCTACCTATATTTTTGTGTTAAAACACTATTTTAAATTAAGCATATATTTTAGACTTTGTGAAAAATATTTTAAGCCTATAAAGATAATCAAAATGTTTTGATACACTGATGGGTATGTTTTTGACCAGACAGTATGGAAGCATTGCAGTGTGATTACTAAAGTGAATTATTTTCAGTTTTCATACTGTTTTCATTATATAAAATAGCTAAGATCATCTGAGATCTTAGTAATTGTTCAATATTTTATTCTTGTCAGTTGCAAGAAAAATATTTCTGTCCAATATCTGAGAATACAACACATTTTTTAAAAATAATTACAGAGTGAGTCATAGAATGTTCCTGACTGTTCTAAGTGCCCTGAAGTAATCTGAGATCCTTTTATAGATTGGGCCACTTCTGGAATTTGAAATAAAAGTCTTTTCTGAGATTTTTAGAAGGAGTTTCAAGGTTGGAACTTTGATGACATTTTACTCACTTTTAAATGGCTAGCTATCCTTTGTGCAGCGTGAGTTATGGTACTTATCTCTTTCTATTTTCATCCTGCAGGTGTTTGAGGAAACCTTTGAAAGGAACAATTCGAACCCAACGTTGCCGGCGACCAAAGTCTCCAGTACTCCATCCTCCTAAATTCATCCACTGCACTAAACAAATGCCTTCCTGTAACCAATCCATGCACAAGAACCTAACAGATGCTTTTCAAAGCAACAAAGATTTGGATGTGCCAAAGAAATTTTCTGAAAATGAACTGGGCAATCATCCTCTAGAATTAGGCAAGAAAGAATCAGTTGTCAAAGATTCTGAGGCATCCATGATAGGAATACCAAAGAATATTTCTGAAAATATTGGTAGTGTTCTTCCCACAGAAATTCTAAAGGTCTCAGATCTTTCTGATTTCCAGTCTGTGTCTGAACAAAATCAAGGGAATTTTTGTGCATGTGTAAAGAATGAATGCCAGTGTAAGCAATGGCAAAACCTGAATGTGTACATGTTTTCTGACATACAGAACTCCCTCCAGTGTGTATCTGAAAGAGCAGCACATGTGCAGAACAATCCACAGCTCACATCAAGAATTTCCTCCAGTTCTCTTAAATCTTGCTCTGAGCAAGCCAGAGCTCATGTAGATGATGTGACCATTGAAGACCTTTCAGGTTATATGGAATACTTCCTGCATATCCCTAAGGAAATGTCCCACATGGCGGAAATGATGTATACCTGACCCTAGCCAACAAAGGGCGTTGATATCTGCCCTGAATCATGCTCCATCTCAGAAGCAGTTTGCTCTCTGTGCTTATAATAAAGCCACTTTGCATTTCAGGCAGACTTCTTGTTTTTAATAGATCAACAATTGAAATAAATTCTAAATTGGAGGACTTAGAGCCTAGGAAATTATGCCATTTTTGTAGGTACGGTATAGCCACAACTGGCTGTTTGGATTAACTGACTAACATTTTTACAGACAGTGAATTATAAAACAATCTAGAGTGAATTCAAGCACTTTCCACATCTGAGGCTAAGTACTGTATATTTTACATGTTATATTGACTGTATATATAACTGTGTATGCATTATATGTGTAATTGCACGCAAGCACATATTTTAAATTATCAAAAGCATAACATTGAGTATTTCAATTTGATTTGTTGCTAATGCACAAGTCTTTTCTTGAAATCTGTTGAATACATTATCTAAAATTGTAGAAGTCAGTAATGTTTTTCTTCTCTGCATTGCTTTAAATACAACCTAAATTCCATGTTTTTGCAATTTCTAAAGGAAATCCTTCCAAATCATCAATATTTGGATTTTGTGGTTAATGAACAATGAGATATTAACATTCAATCACATATGTGGCCATTAGATGTCAGCTTTGCTCCATATCAGAGTAACACAGTTTTTACTACATTTCATACTTATGCAGAGACACTTCAGTTCATTCTGCTTGCAATCTAAAATATGACTAAAGCCAATACTTATTTGTGACAATGTGCTAGAGACAAATAATATGCTTAAGCTATATGGATTATGTGTGAAAGAAACCAATGTGTTTGGCAAACTTACACTAAGAAAACTACTTTCAAGGCATAGTCATATGCATGGAGTCTTGGGTTGTTAACCTTCTACTTCAAATTCACAAATATGTCTATAACTTAAAATCAAATTAATTCAAGGGTGAAAGAATTCAGTTCTCCCTTGATATAACCATCCTTGTGGAAGCCAACCTTAAAAGCATTATGTCACATAAGTACAGGTAGTCCTCGATTTATGATCACACTTCAATCCAACATTTATATTGCTAAGCGATACATTTGTTAAGTGAGTTTTGTCCCATTTTACAACCTTTCTTGCCACATTTGTGAAGTGAATCACTGCAGTTGTTAAATTAGTACCATGGTTAAGTTAATCTGGCTTTCTCATTGACTTTGCTTCTCAAGTCACAAATGGTGATCACATACAACTAGCATAAATATGAGCCAGTTGCCAAGAGTTTGAATTTTTATTACATGACCATGGTGTGCAACCATCATAAATTTGAACCAGTTACCAAGTGTCTAAGTTTTGATCATGTGACCATGTGGATGCTGAAAAACAGGTGAAAAACAGTCGTCACTTTTTTCAGTGCCATTGTAACTTCAAATAGTCACTAAACAAACAGTTGTAAGTTGAAAACTATCTGTAATCTACTCAATTTCTTACCCCTAATGTGGCAATGGCTAATGTTTGGATGATGTTTTCTCATAATTCAGTTTAGTGTTGTCCAGATAATTTGGGAATAAAAGCCACGGAATTTACAGTCAGAATACTAGCTAGAGATTCTAGGAATTGTAAATCATGGGGAAGGCAGATATTACTTTGTTTTGACATCTCGTTTTCTGGCCCAGAACTCCCTGTGTTTTACACTGCTAACTAAGTGAGGATCTAATAACTCCCTTGGAAGATGCTGCTCTTGAGATAAGCATTTATTTGCAACTGTACTGAGTCAGCCATGGTTTATTGCTTCTCTGTTATATGAACATTATTGAGCTGCTTTTTATGCAGCTTCAACACGCTAGTTAGGGTTGTAAAAAAAACAATTGCAAATAACTGGCAACAGGTGACTGGAGGTGTTTGAAATTATTTTCTTTCACAACTTGGACAAACAAGATTTGTGGATGGCAATTTATTGCAAATATAGTATATGAAGTTCTTTGAGCATTTTCTGTACTGTGTACTTTGCACTGTGCAAGCAATGACAGCATAGAAACTAACGTGGAATTCGTGGCACTAACTGTTGGAAATGGCTATATAAAGTGTTAGAAGTAACATCTCCACATTTTCCTCTGGTCTTGTATAAGACCACCTGTTTCCTGTACATTCTCAGGAAATAAGCATACTTTCAGCTTGCGTTATATGGAGGGAGTTCTCTGGCTGAGTATTTCAGAAATTGATTTCAGCCACTGAAAAAATTGCTTTTTTTAAGTGAAAAAAGCAATCTTTTGGTTATTAGATAAATTAAGATTACCTATTAGTTTTCTTTAACAAATTTGTAGTATTGCAATAGAAATTGAAGTTTCTCATTTGGATTCTGCAATTATAAAGATATGCTTACTAGTGAAGGTTAGCTTTACAATTAAAAGAAATATAACTAACACAGAGTAAATATGGCAAATAGCATTGGTGCTTATAATGAAACCCCTCAATATAAATTGATCAAATACCAGCTTTAGCTAACTTTCCACTTGAAGTATTTCTAAGTGAAGGCTGAAATTGATCTATATTCCAAATTGGCAATATGTGCCATGTGTGAAATACTAAAGCTAAGCAGAAGATCATTATGATTTAAAAATAGTGATTTTTGTGCTTGGGAACTCAGACTTGTTTCTCCCATATAAAACATTGAACAAATTATTCTCCTTTAGTGTTACCCATTTGTCTTACTAAAGTGTTTCCCAAAGTGTGGTATGCGTACCCCCAAGAGTACGGGAAGAGTTTGGTGGGGGTACGCGTTGCACCGGAGTTTGGTGGGGATCACGTGGGAATATCCACTGCACCGTGCTTAGCTGCGCCCACAGAACAAGGAAAGAAATAGGCGCGTATCACAGTTTTTACACAGGAACTGGGGCCATCGTACATCGTATCGCAACTCATTATGGCGGGAACTTCTGCGCATCCTTCGCGCAGCTCGGGTTCGGCCATTTTTAAACTGCGGGAACATTAACAGTTGGCGTTGAGCCGCGGAGCTGTTTAAACGCCGGAGAATTGCAGTGTTATCTACGGTTAGACAGTCTTGTGAGGCATGACATGGCATGAATATACTGCACTTCGTTACAGAGACAACTTACTTCTTTAATAGTTAGTTCCGGGCGCCTGTTATCGTGCTTTAGTAAGTTCCACTGATTTTGATTATTTTTATAAAATACAATTTTTATCCCTAACAGAGATTATGGATCGCTGGTTGAAATCTGGAACTACTAAACATACACATATTTTGTGTATGTACCAAAAAAAGAAAAAATAAATATATTTTGATTTTTATTAAAGCATATGTTTTTTATGAGGGGTACTCAGCGTTACGAAAATTATAGAAGGGGTACACATGTCAAAAGTTTGGGAAACACTGTCTTACTGTGAAAGTATTTTTAGACTGGCTATATCCATTAGAAATTTTCTAACATTCATCTTGTGATTACAACTTTGATGCTTTTAAAATTCAAATCTGCCCTCTGTTCCAAAGAGTTTAGTATTCTTGCCATAATTGTTTTTTTTAAAAAAACTTTCTAAAGAATTTTTTTACAATTTTGTTATTTATAATTGTTTTGTTTCTAAAGAATTACAATTGGAGTATTTCTTTGTGTACTTATTTCACCTACGGTCATATAAATTAAGTTTAATTCCCCCCTATTCAAATGGGAAAACCATGTATTTGTACTGAACAAAATCTTTTGATGAGAAAAATGATTGTTGCACAAAGCTTTCTAGGGGACTGTTCACACAACAAACTTAACCAGGTCATTTCTAGACCCCATGTATTAGGCTGTCTCATAAACCAGTTATTTAGGGTCAGAAGAGAGAGCTCAGCATTTTAACCTCAAAGTGTCTTGGCTGAATTATTAGTAAAAAGACTCGTCTCTTGATCATAATTTGTTGTGTGGATTCAGATTCAGTCACTTCGCAGCTGCTGTGATTGTTACACCAGTGTTTCTCAAACTGGAGACCTTCTATGGCCTTCAATTGCCTGGGGAATTCTGGGAGTTGAAGCCCACACATCTTCAAGTACCCAGGGTTGAAAAACACTGCTCTGTAGTCACTCTTCAAGGAAATGTTGGACTGAGAGAAATTGACTGACCCAAAGTCACCCCTGAGCCTTAGGTTCCCCCGCTAATCCTAATTCAACATTTGAATCCTGATTAAAGCATGCCTGCGATTGCAGCTGTAATGGCAGAGGAAGAGATCTTCCGTGTGACAGCAAGGAGCACGGTGTTATTTTCTGAGCTCTTCTGAGTAACCAACGCATAATAAACGCTCATTCTCTCACGGCGAATTAATCACGTACAGTTGCTAAAGCGAGCAGAATCTGCGGCTGAAGGCAAAGAAAAAAAAAAAAAGGACTGGCGGTGGCTTTTCAAAGCTATTTGCCGATTTGCACCTGGCCGGGCTCCCCTCAGCACAAAAAAGGTCAGCGGGGAGGAAGCGCGCCTTGTGGCCGTAGCGCTCGCCAAGGGAAGCCGACTTCCTCCAACGGCGAAAACCGACCGAAGGATCGTCTTTAATGGGCAACGGGGGAAGAGCAAGGAATACAGTCACAATTTCCCAGGGCAAGTTCGAAGTAAAGCCTGTGTTCGGACTCCACCGACGTCCGAATTTTCCGAAGAGAGCCCGTTGCCTTCCCAGCCCATCCCAAAAAAAAAATGCTCAGCCAAATTCGCAAAACCCGGATTCACGGGTGGTTGTGCCCCTTCCAGTCCTGCCTCCTAAACCTCTCCGTTCAGGGATCCATTCATGCCCTCCTTGTCCCCACCCTCGGGCTTAGGAGAAGCCGTTTCTGGCTCAGCCCTACTGGAAAAACTTCGGCGCAAACAGCCGGGGCAGAATCGCGACCCCCTCCTCCGCCTCCCCCGCCCCGTCGTTCCCAGGCTGCTATTTTTAAAAGTACACACTTGCTTCCTCGGTCCCTCTCCTCCTCCTCCTCGAGGATTATTAATTTTTATTCCGGCCCCGAAGGGGTGGTTCCTCTCTCCTCCGTAAAAGGGTCCTAGAAAGGGGGCTGGGCGAGGGGGGTCTATTTTAGGAGCAGCTCTAGGGAGCCGATGGCCTTGTTAGGGCAGCTTTGACCTTTTCCT